TAATCTTTAACCAAGAAGATACTAAGCTGGCCTAAATGGAAAAATCAATACACAGAGCTCATCATCTCTGGTCAACTAGGCTATGAGGTCATCTAAGATTCTAAATCAACATATCTGTAAGGTAGTTTTATAACAGGGACGTTGACTAATAGGCTGTCTTACTTAAATGACCACCCTGAACACACAGCTCATTCACCAAATGGAGAGTTATATCTCTTGCTAAAACTGGAGAAGGCATTCCACTTGCTGTTAAAAAGACATGGTGACAATTTTCACTGTGTGAATATCCCAGGAAGAAGCTGTTTCTATGAACAAAAGGGAAATTTGGAAAGCAGCTATCACCAGGGATTTAGCTCAGTGGCACAGCACCTGCCTGGCAAGCACGAGGTCCTAAGTTCGATCCCCGGTACAAAAACATTTTTAAAAACGAACCAGAAAGTAGCTATCATTTACTAGACTACAAAATGTTTAACATGAAAGTCTTGACTAGAGTTACTGATACACAACATGAAAACTGCCCAAATATAAAAACATCTATTTTGATAATAATTTTGAACACTGAAAGAACTTAACACCTTTCAGTTATAAAAACAAGCTGTGAGGGCCCAGGGATTTAGCTCAGTGGTTCCACCACCTGTCTTGCAAGCGCAAGGTCCTGAGTTCAATCCCAGGCACCCCCCCAAAAAAAAGCAAAAACAAAACAAACAAAAAAATAAGCTATGAGCTGTGGCACAGATCTAAGACAAGAGAAATGTGAATTCAAGTCCAGCCCAGGATAGATAGCAAGACCCCGTCTCAAAAAAAACAAAAAAACCCAAAACCTTCATATCTATGCATATGCATATGCATATGCATATGTATCACCAGAACAAATAAAATTACTACTCAACAGTGGCAAGGCTTATTATTTTCATTTTATTAAAACATGGAAATGTAATAGCAGCATCATTTGATACTTTTACTTATACCATTTAAAAGTCCTACTTACTTAAAAAAATAACACCTATGCAGTGTATTTTGTTTACATTTTAAACTCTTCCTTTGATAATCTACAACACAGCTCTATTAATCAAGATTAGAAGATAACTACTGAACTATTAGAAGATAACTACTGATCTATACAGCTACATATTATTTTCAAATTTAATGTTCAGTGAAATCAGGGGTTTTCTAAGTTATTCCCCACAATGTATTACCAAAAAGTACCCTTAAATTGGTAGAAATGAATCTCTTCTGAATCTTTCAGTGTAAGTTTTATGAATTTCAAAGCCAGGCATAATGGCACACACTGCACACCTTTAATCCCAGTACTCAGAGAAGGCAGGAAGATCGCCTTGAGTTCGAGGTCAGCCTGGACTGCACAGTGAGTAGGCCAGTCTGAGCTACATAGCCAGACCCTGTCTGAAAAGGGAAAAATAATAATAAATAAATAAATAAAGAGAAGAGGTTAACTACTACTTCATTCCAATCTTAGAAAAATAAAATGTATAGAGGCAAAATATGTGAACTCTCTTCCAAACTGACAGTTTTCCAAATTAAAACATTATCTAGCTATATATTTGTAAAAATCAGGCAATAAATTAAAACCTTTTGAAAGTATTTGTGTAAGGAATGCTTACAGTGGCAGAGTGCTTAGTGCATGAGGTCCTGGGTTTGATCTCAGTACCACCATCAACCCCAAAGTAGGAAAAAGACGTCAATTAATAATTGTAATAAAGAGTCAGAAATGATAAAGGTACCTTAGATTGAAATGGAAGAGATCTGATTACTAAATCTAACCTAACTATGGAGTGAAAAACCAAAAATGCATTAGTTTTTATTTTTAAAATAAGTATCATTCCTCAGGCAAAGTCACCTTTATAAATAAAAGTATCTTCAGGAAGACTTTCCCATAAGCCCAAGATTAAACAAGGAAGGAAGTTTTATTTTAAAAGCTTACCTATATTACACATTTATACTATACTCCCTCCAGAAATAGAATTTAGCTCTTAAAAAGAGCACTAACTTTTGAAATCTGAAAATAATTTAAGTGATTACATTAGGCAATAAACATGAAAATACTAAAGATAAATGCAGAGGAAATAAAAAATATTTAAATACACAAGATATGGTTACTGTATTTTACCTTTAAGAAAGGCTTACCTCCACACACTCAATTATAATGAATTACTATCTTTTAAAATGAAAATAAATGACTCACCAAATTGTTTAATGCATCCATCTAAAACAATCATTATTGCTAATACAGTTTAAACTAAAAATAAAAACTTAAAAACCTACTACAATAATTTATAATTCTTAAATTCAAATATCTTAATTTGAAGGTTTGTATCAGATTTTTTAAATTCTAAAATAAGGATAGCAACCTATACATAGAAGACTGAGGGTCCTGAAAATTATTACAATTACCAAAAAATTATTTTCTTGACCAAAAAAGCCCTTTTGGTTATAAACATGAGTTTTTATTTTTAATTAAGCATGTCAAAATTTAAGCCTCTGACACTTATGAAGATTAACATAGCAGATACTGAACCTCTTCCTAAAATTCTAAATACGGGGAAGGTCACAACCTGACTTGTTTTCACTAATAAGCTAATTAGACTAGACAAAATAATAACTAAAGAGATAATTGTAGAAATTAAGAATCTATGCTTTCACACATGGAACTGATTGGCTGGCTTATGAATGACCATCTTAAGATACTAGCTCAGTGTACACTGCTAAAAAGCAGTTAAGAATACCAACAGTCAGAGGGCCAGGGATTTAGCTCAGCGATTCGGTGGCCTGCCTTGCAAGCGCAAGGACAGGAGTTCAATCCCCGGTGCGCCCCCCCCCAAAAAAAAAGAATACCAACAGTTTGTCTAAAATGATGAACAGAAACTAGAGTTTAAGGAACAGCATATAATTTATGTATAATCAAACTAAAAAAGATAATCACAGAATGTACCGAAGTGTCTAAGGGCTATCTTCTTGGCCTTACCTCAAGTTTTCCTGACAACATCTACCTGGGATGAAAAAGGAAGAATCTTGAATGAAAAAAACAAAATATCTTGACAAATAATAATAAACAGAAACACAGTAACTCTAAGTGAACAAAGAGAAAATTGTTCCCTCTCCACCACACCCCTTACCCCCTTTCCTTCTCTCTTTCAAGCATCCCTGTATAGACCCCTCAAACAAAGCCTTGCTTCCCTATAGGAAAACATCAGATCTCACATAGTAATCTAATTTCACTTTCTCCAGATCTCTTGTATTTTTATTTATTCTTAAAGATTATAAATCAGCTTTCCAAAACTACTATAACTATTTAAAAACTTAAACAGTATTATCAGGAAGAAAAATAATTAGCAGGAATCAAATAATTTCTAACATTGATAATTTTCAATGTTTTGTCCAGACTACAAGAAAACAAACTTTAAATGACTGTTTTACAGACAACACACACACACACTCCCCATGCCAAGACAATCTCTATGCCAACTAAAACTAGAGTGAAAACTAAGATGCTTTTTTGAAATGCATGAACAAATAATTTCCTCTAAAATACTTAGCTTTATTAGAGAAATGGTACTAAAAATAACAAAGATTCAAATATTTGCTCTATTCTACTTACATATCATAAATAAAACAGCTGTTGATGCAAGACACACACTCCTTCACAATCTTTCGTATGCACCCAAGCATTCCTGTATCAGAATAAGCTGTTTACCAGCCAACCGTATGGGGTTGAATGATTAAAATGACCATCTATACTTTACATAGTAAAGCATTTTGGAAATTTTTAATGTACACAGTGACAAAAGGGAAAAAAACAAACAGTAATTCTGAACACATGAAGAGGATTAAGCAGCTTCATTATCAAACGAGGCTTCATTACTTGCAAAAGGGTAACTTTTCCCATTCTTCACCAAATAATAAGTTTCAACTGTATTAACAACAACAAAAAAACTCAAGTTGAAACATGCTACTCAGCTTTTAAAATCTACAAAAGTAACTCTTCCCATGAGGTAAGGCAACTGAGAATTTGATTGTATTAGATTGCATTAAAATAATTATACTTGATTTTAATAATATGATAATTAAAAGTATTACTTTTGGGAAAATAATAAAAAAGCTCAAAAATCACAAATTACAGTTCTCCAGGAAAACATTAGCAATGCTGTCATTTTACTCCTCCCGTACTTTCTGCAAAATGTAAGCTTGATGATGATGGATGACCTATATCTTAAAAGTAAACATGTTTAAACATAAACCACCTCTTGTATACTCTTAGTCCTCCCTTAAAGTATGATTTCTATGCAATATTTATGAGAAACTGATTGAAAGGCAATAATTAAGGCCATCCAACATAATCAACTAGAAGGTTTTCTTTGATCTGAGGAAAAAAAGAACATGTTTATTTTCAATTATCACAGTATAAAACTGATGGTCCCAAAACTGCACTGTTTTAAACTCTAAAGTCAGTCTTGAAAACAGGACTTCCCTTTCATTCTTGAACTAAGAAGCTCTTCTGACATACCACTTACACACTTCTCTATGGGTTTGAATAGAATATCCATCTAGATTGCATATGAATTGAGAATGACTAGCACATATAAAATTCTAGAAAACAGTATACCACACTGTAGAAGGCACTAAAGCTTCAGCTTGTGCTCCCATTGCCCATTTCGAAACCCAGTTTCTTTTTTATGAGGGCATCTTTGCCACCTACAGCTGACAAAACATACTGCAATATTCATAGTAAGGTTGGAAATATCAAGAGTTTAAAAAAAATGCTTAATTTGTGGACAGACCAAATGATTTTAAACACTGAATACTAATACATTACTATTAGCATTCAACACAATTGCTCTTCCTTTTGAAAGAGAATAGTAGCATGCATTGTCAGTTGTTTTTTTAATCCACTTATTTAAGCAATTTTAATCTGTAAAACTATTTTAAAGAAAAACCACTGTCCTACGAAACAGTGAGCAAAAGAAAACACAACAGTGAGAATTTAACACAATTACTTTAAATCCTGTGAAGTAAATGTTAAAACTTCTTACATACTTTGCACTTACAATTGTGTGTATATATTTGCACCAATTTCAAGCACATCATCAAATTGTATATACTGACATTTTTCTTTTAAAAAAGTAAAACAATACAAAATTAAGTAACTAGCATTTTTTTAAAGAGCCACCAATGCTTATCTCCAGTCTTTAGGGATAGTACAAATTTGGATGACTGATGGTCAATTTATTTGCAATGGTTCTTGGCAAACACTAACAAACCACATGACAAGTGTGTCAGCCATCATGGAAATACACAGATTTCAGAAATGAAGAGTTTGGGTAATCTGTGGTACTTTCACAATGTCCGTGCTTTATCTCCTTACTCAGTAACAAGATGTCCATGACATCACCTGACAAATGGTGTACCTATCTTTATGCTCAACTAGATTTCTTCCCTGTTTACATCTTGTTGAGAGAATTAAAAGCTTTGGATTTCATTCCAGCATTGAGCGTAGAGTTGCACTGGTTGGTCCTATACAGCTTCTGTTTTGGTAGAGAGGTTTTCTTCATTTGGCTGACAATTTCCATTTTGCTGTACTTTATTTTCTTCGGTCCTTGGTGTATCCTTATCATCTACTTCCTTACCCACACTTGAATCTGGTTCTTTACTGTGCTCCTTCTCCTACAATGAATATCAAGATACACATTTACCATTTTCCTCAAGAACTCTTTACTATGGCTATATGATACAACTTCATCCTCTGAATTAATGAAACTGGGTAATTTTCTTCTATTATATGTTCTTTATACTTGGCATAAAAGATGGAACATCTATGGAAGCTAAATTAGAATGCAGTGAACAAAGTCCTAAGGAAATATAAAATAAATACTGCCAACAGATTCAAAAAAGGGGAATAGATCTACTGAGTCAAAGAGCTTCAAAAAAATGCCATGAGAAACAAAAACAAGGGAACACAGAAAAAAGAAAGTCAGTATTCCTGTGCTCGTTAAGGTGGTCATTCAACTCAAATTGTTTTTGGGTGTGTCTGGGTAGCTCATGCAGGCCAAGCCTTGGGGTCTGTACCTGGCCCCCTTGTCCCTTCCTCTCTGGTGCTCTTCCCCTCCTCTGCTTTGTCATCCACTGAGCAGCTTTGCTCCACATAACCTTGGAGCGAGCTGAACCTGGGCTGAAACCAGGAGCAAATCAAAGTTGTGGGTGCTGAGTACTGTGTCCAGGAATGGGAAGCTAATAGCATGTCTCTTTTAAAAGACTATTCAAGAATAGTCCAGTTTAGGCACAGTGGTGCACATTTGTAATTCTAGCTACTTGAGAGGGTAAAGCAGGAGAACCAAAAGTTTGAGGCCATCCTGGGAAATTGAGAAAGATAATACCCTGTCTCACAATCAAAAATTTAAAAAGGGGCAGTGGATGTAGCTTTGCAGTAGTGCCTGCCTAGAGAGAAAGAAGCCTTAGGTTCAACTCCCAGTAATTAAAAAAATAAGTCTAAATTCTGTCCTCAGCTTAAAGGAGAATTAAATGATAACAAAGAGTGTGTGACACACAGAACACATTCAGTAAACATTACCATGTCATCAATGATGAACCTCTTTTCAATCAATGCAAGTTCTAGAACACCTAATTTCCAAATATAAATAAATTTTAGCAAGATAATCAGGGAACTAACTTGTAAGTCCTTAAATTATCTAAGAGAAAGAAAACTTGGTAGAATTCAGTTTTTTGTAACATAACAATATTCAACAAACCTAATTTTAAGTACTTATTATAAAACCAGTAACAACAGTCTTACTATAGTGAGTAAAACATGTATCAAGGAAAATGGCAAAAGACAAAAAGCATTTTTATAAATATATTAGGAATATTCATTACCTGTAGATTTTTCAAAAGAATTTATTGATATGCTGATTTTCTTAAGGAATGTGACAGTTTAAATTTTAATTAGCTCTCATCTCTTTAAAACCTAATTTTTAAAAATTAACAAAATTTTAAGATATCAACAATGTACAAAATACTCTTGCCCTCATGAAGCTTTCAGCTTAAAATTGCTTTTATGTGGGGGTATGGTGTTGCACACCTATAATCCCCAGCACTCTGAGGCAGGAAGATCTCAAAATGGAGCTCAGCCTGGCACTTCAACAATGTAGCAAGACCCTGTCTCAAAACAAAAAATAAAGGAAAGACTGGGTTCAATCCCTAGTACTGCAATCAATCAATCAATCAGTCAAAAACCTGCTTCTATGTGATAAAGAGCAATCTCAATTATTCAGTAACCAGGCACTGCTCTTACTTTAACTGAAGTACTGTTCTTCTCCAGCTTCTCCTTCCCATCTCTATCATTAGAACTCTTTCTTGTAGAGGTTGGACGCTCTCTTTCTCGTCTTTCATTCATGTGGTCCCTTTCTTTTTCTCTCTTTTTATCCTTCTTATTTCTGCTGTAAAAATATTGATGTCAGTTAATTTCCAAGAAATTAAGGACTTATGGTTCTTAATAAAGTACTCTTATAACACTATCTAAAATAATGCATTTTAAATAAGCATCCTACTACACTGGTTTGACAAAAACCCAAAAATAGGTCATATAACCCCTCCACTCCACCACTTAGCCCAGTTAGCTTTTTAAAGATACTCAAGTCATTTTGCAGCAGCCACTATATGTTCACAGAAAACACAATTTGGTATTTGTCAATTTATTACCTTTGAAAATCATTTATACAAGATTACTGGAATAAGGACAGTAATACAATGTCAGTGCTATGTTGTTTGGGAAATGACAAGGAAATAAAAGTCTTGTAATGGTTGGGGAGTAGTTCAATGGTAGAACACAAAGACAGCACATGTTCCTAACACCAAAAAAAGAAAAAACAAAAAAAACCACAAAATAAAACAAAAAAAAAAAATCAAAGTTTAGATACTTAGTGTAGATGCAATTTTTTTCCACATATTTTTCATCTGTGTTTGGTTTAAAATGTGAATTAGTAACAGGGTACAGACCAATTATATTTAGTTTTAGGCTCTTTTGTTAAATTAAAAAAACAAAAAAAAACAAAAAACCACAAGCAAGAAAATAAAATAATCCCCTGATGGGAAATATGTTACATATATTTTAGTAAAGTTTTTTAAAATAATTTTTTTCTTCTAACTAAAATATCACAGAAAATCAAATTAAAAAAACTAAAAACAATCAGTAACACAGTGTGATTTAAAAAATAAACACAGTGAACGATAACTTTCTTATGTTAAAAACTTAATGCCTAATCATGACAAAAAAACTTCATCTATAAAACGAACAAGAATTCTTAGGAATAAATTTAAGAAATTTATATATACAAAACAATCATTTCTGAAAAACACTAAGAATCAACAGATAAAGGAGAAAGAGATATCACACTCTTGGACAGAAAGACTAAGTAAGCATCATAGAGCTTTATTACTGTATCTCTGTATTAATAATATTCCCTAAGTTAATTTAGAAATTTAATGCAATTATAACACAAATTAGTAGGCTTGTTATTTCTGGAACCTAAGCAACCAACTGATGTTCAGATGGAAAAAAATTCATACATGGTTAGGAAAGCTAAAAAAAAAACCAGAGTAATGAGGGGCCTAGAAATAGGACAAGCCTTACCTTTCTGGGGGAGCAGTCCTGGGAATTAAACCTAGGGTCTCATACATGTTAGGCAAACACTAAGTTACATACTCAGACCCTATTATTTTAAAATACTTTACAATCTTAATAATCAAAACCACAGGATAGCAGCACATGGTCAGTCGAGCCAATTAAACAACACAGAAGACTCAGATCCACACATATACAGAAAATTTAGAATACGACAAAGCAACATTATCAAATTGTGTGAAAATCTGAGTTTCTAAATAATATTAGATTAACAAAAAAAAATTGGAAAAATAAAACTGGGGTGCATATACCATATTAAGGATAAAATCTAGGAGACCAAAGATTTCAATGCAAAATAAGCCCTACAGAAATACAAGAAACAATGAGGAAATTTTATCATAACCTTGGAACAAGAAAAGGATCTTTTTAATTTTGTAACTCAAAATACACAAGTCACAAAAGGAAAGAAAATTAGAAATTTTTATAAATCAAGTTTCATAAATTTCCAAAAAGAAATGACAAATTGTGAATATCTATAATCAAATCAATAAAGAATAATCTCCCTAATATAAAAGGAACTGTAAAAGCCAGGTACAGAGGTGCAAACCTGTGATCCCAGTTCTGCAGGTAGCTAACACAGCAGAATCTCAAACTAGAGGCCAGCCTGGGTAACTCAGCAAAACCTTGTCTCAAAAAAAACAGGGCAGACAGGTATGGTGGCACACATCTGTAATCCCAGCTCTCCGGAGGCTGAGATAGAGGAATCACCATGAATCTGAGGCCAGCCTGGGCAACACAGTGAGTTCAAGACCAACCTGAAGTACACAGCGAAACCCTGTCTCAAAAAAAACAAAAACAAAAGCTTCTAAAGAAATAAATAAAAGGAGCTGAATGTGTAGCTTAATGGGAAGGTCTTGAGTTCAATTAAAAAAAAAAAAAAAAAGAAGAGCTATAGAAAACAAAAAGAAAAGGGGAAAAAAAGACCTCACAGAAAAATAAAGTATAAAATCACAGAAAAGGAAATATAACAGGACTTGAACTATATGAAAATGGTTTACCTTCACATGTAATAAGAGAAATGCAACTAAAATTATACGAATGATGATGCCACTTCTTACCAAATGCACAAAAACCTGTAACTCTGACAACAATCTGTTGTAGCTATTATAAACACACCTTTTAACTTGACAATACCATTTCTGGGAAATTTTCTACACATATGTATACTACAAAGCAATGTTAAATCCAAAAACTAGTAGTGTAAGTACTTAAGGGGATAGAATAGATAAATACATGGGTGAAAGACAACACATACTTTTTAGATCAATTTCTGAAGGATACAAAGGTTATTACTCATTCAAAATACAAAATTTTTTTAAAGACTGAAAATATAATTCTGAAAAGTTTTTTATTTCCTGCATCCTCTTCTTTAGTTTTAGATTATGCCTAAAACTAACCTTCTAGGGGATGGAGACCTGGAAGATTTCCTTTTTATGGCTTTTGATGTTCTCGGTGACCTGGAAGAACTCCTGCTTCTCCTCCTGCGCCTATCCCTGAAAGCCAAAAATAGGTCAATAACAACTGAAATAACAGGCAATTCAAAAAAATAAAAGCAAAGGGTTTCTGGTACTTTGAAATAGCCCTTCTCAGAGGCCTGTTTATTTAAGATGGAGACCTGGAAGATTTCCTTTTTATGGCTTTTGATGTTCTCGGTGACCTGGAAGAACTCCTGCTTCTCCTCCTGCGCCTATCCCTGAAAGCCAAAAATAGGTCAATAACATGTGAAATAACAGGCAATTCAAAAAAATAAAAGCAAAGGGTTTCTGGTACTTTGAAATAGCCCTTCTCAGAGGCCTGTTTATTTAATTTATTCTATTTATGTTTTTTATTGTTTTTTGTTTTGTTTTTTGTTTTTTTTTTTTTTGCAGTGCTGGGGAAGAACCCTGGACCTTGTGCATGCTAGGCAAGCACTAGGCCACTAAGCTACATCTCTAGCCTCCAAAGCTTGAATAGAAAAACTACAAATGATACCCAGACTCTCTCCAAAAAAAAATGTTTTTTTGCAGCATCTAAAACACGTTTTACCTATCAGAAGATCCTGTTATGTATCGAGCTCCCTTCTGCCCTACTGTGTATTATTCTGTAACAAACACATTCTTTAAAACTGAGTGAGCTTGTAAAATACAATCTAAGCCAAGTATTAGAAGTCTACAAAAAGACATTTAAGTCAATACCACTTGATAGAGAAACTGCTTTTCCCTGCAACCTCCTATCATTATTATTCTATTCAATTACACATTCCTTAGATATAAAATAATAAACTAAAATCTAGGATTTAAATATGGCAGAGCAAGAGTTACTAAACAGATTAACAGGGTTTATTATTAAAAACTTATGTTAAGCCAGAAGTGGTGGTGCACGCCTGTAATCCCAGCACTCGGGAGGCTGAGGTAGGAGGATCACTGTGAGTTGAGACCAGCCTGGGCTACATAGTGAGTTGCAGGTCAGTCTCAACTACATAGTGAGACCCTGTCTCAAGAAAACAAACAAACAAACAAACAAAAAAAAAACTTATGTTAAACCTATTAGCAAATGATGCGTGCTATAAATTACTTTGTTTTTAAGAGTGGTCAACTTAGAAACAATAAACTTCACCATGTCCATAATTCAAGGGACAAGATGTAAGGATATATGCATTAAATGATTAACATATACAATGATCTCTAATAAGGAGCTCAGATAATCAGTTGACCACACAGTAGCTGAAACAAATTGATCCTCTCAAATTCAAGTTCTCAACATCTCTTTTATTTTTCATTCCTAAAATTAAAAAATAAAGCTTGTATGATTATTGATATACATAAGGAGATATTCAAAAAGACCAAAGAAACACAAGAGCTTTGTGAACACAATATTATTTAGCCTGAGCCTGTTTAGTCAATTGGGAAATAAAGGTAATTAATAACTCAAATCTTACAGTGTCATTATAAGGATAAAGCATTATACATTAAGTACCAACCATAGAGTCTGGCACAAAGTAGATACTCAATAAATTTTTCCCCTTCCTTTCTTTTTTTTCCAGTGCTGAAAACCAAACCCAGAGCCTCACAATGGGCTACACTCCTAGTTCTCGTTTTGTGGACTTATTTTTATTGATAATAACTTTAAAGTGCAGACATTTTTTTTAAATAGGGCAGGGATTTAGCTCTGTGACACCATGCCTGCCTTGCAAATGCAAGGTCCTGAGTTTGATCCCCGGTACTCACCCCCTACAAAAAAAAAGAAAGAAAAAATATCTATTAGGCAACACTTTAATATTTTTTAAAATTTCAATTCCTACACAACTTAGCAAGACCCTGTCTCTTTAAAAACAAAATTTCTGGGGATATAGCTCAGTGCAAAGGATCAGGATTTAATCCCCAATACTGTAAACATGGAAACAGATATGAAAGACAGACAGATGAGACATTATTGGAAATAAAAATGTAGCCTGTTTTGAGCAATCAGAATGTCTCCTATTTCACTGACATCTGGAAAGCTGGAAAATACTATACAATAGAGAAACTTAAGCCTTTGTTAAGCTTTTCAGAAGGAAAAACATTCCAAACTGTTGAACTTTATGAACTAATCTAACTGCTAGCCATCTCTTATTGTCCAGGCCACAGAGGTTATTTTAAAATAGGACTAAATGTGACCATCAGAACTTTTAAAAGATAAAGTGACTTAAAATGGCCAGTAAGCAATTAAACATTTCAAAGTCTTCAGAAAGAGTTAAGCTATCAAAAAGAAACCAAAACAATATGGCGTGGCAAAGGATGTCTAAATAGTCACATAATCACAAAAGCATGTATGACACAATCAGTAAAACCACTTTGCAGTAAAGATGCAGTCACAGGCTACACTGATTAACTATAACAAAAGATGTGTAAGTTTTTCTTCAATTTTTGGTTCAATGTGCTGAAATGTCACTGTAATCTATTTTAAACACCACTGTAACATAAACTATTGCTTTCAACTTTACAGTTCTAAAGCAGTGTCTAAAAGCAGGTACCAAATACTTGGTAGAAAATTCTCAAACTTAATTTCTAAAAAGCAGGAAAAGGGGTACACTATACCTCTGATAATAAACTACAGGACAGATGGACCATTTCCTCTAAGCTTCAGTTTCGTTTTTTATGTTTTTGGTTGAGACAGGATCTCACTCTATAGTTGAGACTGACCTGGAACTATGTAGCCCAGGCTGGTCTCGAACTCACAGCAATCCTCCTGCCTCAGCCTCCTGAGTGCTGGGATTACAGGTGTGTGCCACCACACCAGGCTTCCTCATATTTTTAAAACAACAATAACAACTATCTTTTTATAAACTTGTTGTGAGAACTGAATAGAGTGAACTGTGAAAAAGTCTGCTGTTTGTCTTTTGCTATTCGTCAAAGACTAGAATTAAGAATATACTCTTTGGCCAGGGATTTAGCTAGTGGCACCACGCCTGCCTCACAAGTGCCAAGGTCATGAATTCAATTCCCCACACCAAAAAAGAATATATTCTCAAATTCACAAATTTTTCAATATTCCTTGATCTCAGATTGTTTGCTATGAAGAATTATTTATGCTAAAATATGTATTTTTAATTTTAAGACACACTTTGATGTAAGTTAGAAATTTTATTGTTATGGAATATAGGGAATTTAGATAAGCTTGAGGAAGATTCATTGGTAACCTGCTGCCACCTGGTGGCAATGCACTATTAATAAATCTAGAGACCAGTCCTAAAGGGGAGAAGAAATCTAACATTTGACAAAGAATCAAAATGTAAATGTCTGGGTTGGGGTTTTGTTTATTTTTAGATAGGTTCTCACTATGTATTCCAGGCTGACCTCAAACTCATGGCAATTCTCCCACTTCAGCCTCCCAAGTGCTGGTATTATAGGTGTGCACCACCACACCCAGCTCAAAATCTAAATGTCATGTACTCAATAGAGGTAAAAACCAATATAGATGTCAAAGAATGAAACTGCAACTCCACAAACTATTTTGCATGTTAAAATTTACCAGTTTCCAAAGAAATACAGACACCTAAGAGGTTCATTTAAAAACATATATTTATATTAATATATATATACACACACGTGTGTATATGTGAGGTTAATATATATGTGTGTGTGTGTGTATAGGTATATGTATATAAACACACATAACAATTTTAAAATACCTTCCCCTAACATCTAACCTGTAAGAAAACAAAAATGATGATAATAAATTAGCCAGGATCATTCATTATGAAGGACAGCTAAAATTTTTCAGATAATTGTATCCAACTATCATCTCTTCCTCCTTACAGGTTCAATACTGTAGCAATCCCTCAGCTAGAAAAATATCTACTTTACAGTTAGGGAGGGAGAAATGTTTCAATATTGCTATATGGGTTCAGCTTGCATAAAACAATTTCTCAGTTAAAACTTTGCATTTTCATTTGTCATCATTAAACCTCTTGGTTAAAAAAAAAATTTCTAAAGCACTATCAAACCTGCTGGAACTACGAGATCTTCTTGATGCATTGTAACTTCTGGGTGGTGTTCTGGACTTTTTATCCTTCTTCCTTTTTTCATCTATCTCTTTGGATCTGTCCTTTTCTCGTTCCTTTTCTTTGTCCTGTTCCTTTTCCTTCTCTTTGTCTCGTTCCTTTTCATGCTCTTTTTCCCGCTCCTTGTCTCTGTCCTTTTCCTTGTCCTTTTCCCGTTCTTTTTCTCGTTCTTTGTCCCGGTCTTTGTTTTTCCCCCGTTCCTTTTCTTTTTCACGTTCCTTTTCCCTCTCTCTCTCTTTTTCCCTTTCCTTTTCTCTATCTTTCTCTTTAACTCTTTCCTTTTCCTTCATCTTTTCCCGAGTATCTTTTCTCTTGTCCCTTGAGAAACAAAGAAAGATAAATTGATAACTAAAATAAGTCTCCCCACAGAGACCTCCCTCTTTCTTCAGCAATTAACACAAAACTATTTACAATGGCTACAGACATTACATATAAATTCCTATGTAACTCCAGTGCACACGAAGTTGCTCAACAAAGCAATTACCAGGGTGAGCTGAGTTGTCTGGAAACCTCATGAGTCATACTGACCATCAGGTTCCAATCAGTGGCACTCAAGATTAATCCTTCATTACTAAAAGAATCACAGAAAATTTATTTCTCATTAAAACCCAAACCACTCAAGAAAAATTAATTAGTAACAGAATCATTCATAATTTCTCTAAAACTAACCGTGAACGTGAACGACTCCTTGATTTCCGTCTCTCCCTTGATTTAGAGCGTTTTTTATGTGGGCTCTTAGATCTACGTCTATCCTTCTGTCTTGAACGTGATCTGTTATGGGATCTACTCCTGAAGGAAAATAAGTTGTTAGAAAATCAAAACTTATTCTTAGATTTTCAATTATAAAAAAACTGAAGGACTCTCCTAAGAGAATTAAAAAGTATATCCTAATGGTATTTATCAACATTTAAAAATTTGCCTTACATAATGAGTTAGATTACCAGAAATTAAGTTTATTTACTGGCAACTTTACCAGATATTTTGTCTAGAACACAAAACAAAGAATTTGATAGCTATTTTCTAAGTCATAATTAGGCTATTTCCAAGAAGTAATTTTTTTTAAATTAGTATATGCCTCAATTATAGAAGACAGACATTTTCCACAGTCTAAGTTTTCAATGCCATAAATTGTCTTTCGACTCATCTTGATGGGTAATAATGTAGTGGTTACATAGTTCAAAGTCTTTTTTTTTTTTAGACCAAAAAAAAAAAAAAAAAAATCCAGTATCTTACTGTGTAGAACTACTGTGTAGTTCATTCAGGCTAGCCTGGAAATCACTCTGAAGCTAAAGCTCACACTCATGGTGATCCTCCTGCCTCAACCTTCCAAGTGCTAGGATTGATAACAAGTATGTGCCACCACACCCGGCCAATTCAAAGTAATATCTACACATAGCTGTGTACTGTTTATCACAACAAACATTAAAAATGATGGCTAAGGAAGCACAGGACTTAATGACAGTGCTACTGTGACAGGAAAACTATCTACAAATGTTAGATTTGCAAAGCCTTGACTACAGCTCTAACTATAATCATAGCTATTGAAAGAATACTTTATTACTGAAATTCCCCTAGGCAAAACAACTGTCATTTCCATTCTGAACAGGCCCCCTTTCCAAATGAAGAAATGGGGTTTTGGCAATTTCCTTCATAATGAAGTATCCCAGACACTACTCATTAAAATATAAGACAGATACACATAACTTAAATAATAAAGAGATTAGACTCACCACCAACTTTAGAGTATAACCAGCTGGCTCTGAAAGCCAGCACTGTCATCCACTATCTCTCTGATGCCTTTGGCTAGTCACTAACCTCACAGATTAAAAATCACACCTCCATCTCCTACAGCTATCATGACAATTAAATCATACAATGTATGGAAAACTATCTTGCAGTCTCTGGCACAGAGAAAACACTTAAATTTAATTCTCAGTATCATCATCATCAAAATTTAACACAAATATAAACTTTACATTACATTTTGCATTCAAAGGAGGTCTAATGAACTCCCACAAGTAAGATGATCATCTTGATGGTTATGTTTCAATATATTAAATTACAATATCTATAATGGTCAAATGATCATAATTGTGGTATGTTATGAAATAAAAATATTCCCCAGATAATACTCAATACCTCACAACCCCATATGGACCTTCACACTCAACTTTATATATCCCCATCCCTTTTTTAATATAATTATTTTAAGGCAAGATCTAAATTGGGCAGACAGGGCTTGAACTTGCATCATTTTCCCAGAGTACAGGGATGACAGGTGTGCATCACCATGCTTGGCTTGAAATTTTTTGGGGGGGAGTACCAGGGATCAAACTTGGGACCTTGCACTTGCAAAGCAGGTGGCGGAACCACTGAGCTAAATCCCCAGCACTGAAATCTTATTTCAAAATACATTTTTTGGTTAGTCAAAATTTGTTTTCTTATAGCTAATTTTCAATTACTCATCTATTATATGACTTTAAGGTGTTTGTCTTTATATCACCTGTTTAATATAAGATCATTCAGTTAGTTTAAATCTTTATCAATTAGTATCTGAGAGATGTGAGGGTCAAGTAGTAGATATTAAGACAAAACTATAAAACTGAGGACATTTTTAGTCCACTCATATATATTCACATAGGCTAATCTTTTAAAGTGTCTTTGCTTTTATATGCTTAGTAAAAAGGTTTAAGATTTGTGTTCTAGTTAGCCCTGCTAAAAATATAAACAACTCTTTTGCTTTCCTCAAAGCAGTGCTTTCCAATATTAATAAACTTCTTTTATGAGTATAGCCCTAATAAATATGAGTTAATAATAATAAAAAGAAAAAAAAAAAAAGCACTGATCATTTGGCTTCCTACCTTACCCTGTAGGTCCCGAGAGTTCAAAAGTCACTGCTCAAGAGTAATTATTGTATTTGAATTTTGACATTAAATATTTCATGTCTCTATCTCACCCACTAGTAGTGTTCTGGTTAAGAATGCTAAAGGCAGTGAAGAATAGGTCTAATGTAACCAAAGATAAAGAAGAGTTGTTATTAAGTTTCTGAATTTTAATAATTTACAAAATTATATTTTTAATTAAATTATAAATACATAGCAACTTACCATCATATTGCTTCAAAGTTCATTTGTAAATCATTTGTTTTCCATTAAAACATTATAAAATGCCTTATAATTCCTATGCTATTCTGCAAAGGTTACTTACCTTAAAATTATAATTATAGTATTGGCCACCTTTTCTAAGACTCTTTTAAGAATAAAACGTATCAAATTCGGACAAAGTAGAAATGCATCTCCTAAGAACTAGCCAAAGACACTGCCACAGGAAATCCCCTCTTCCCTTCCTTATAAGAGAAAGGAACAGAAAAAGGAAAGTGGAGCTTATGGGGGAGGAGGGTGGCTCTAATTTTCTAAAAATTTTGTTTTGTTTTTGAGACAGGGCATCACCATGCAATTCAGTCTGGCCTTGAACTCACTTTCAGCCCAGGTTGGCCTTGAACTTGCAGTGATCTTCATGCATCAGCCTCCCAAGTGCTGGGATTATAGGCATTCACTACCAGACCTGGCCTCATTCTTTTTTAACTGACACAAGTAATAATTGTACATATTTATGGGATGATACAGTATAGAAATTCGATACATGTATACAAGGTATAGTGAACAATCACAATAACATCATTTCCAGCTCCTTAAATATTTACTATTTCTTTGTGCTGGGAACCTCTAAACTCTTTTGGTGCTTTGTAAGTATATAACAAATCATTGTAAACTAGTCTTTCAACTGTACTGTGGAACATAAGACCTTATTACTATCATTTAACTGTACTTTAGTAATCATTATTCAACCTTCCTCCACTTCTCTCTTAGGTGACCAGAACTCTTCTTTTACAAAAGCAAATTTTTAAGTTCTCCTAGGTGAACAGTAGCTGTCTTTCTGTTCCTGGAGAAACAAACTCTAGAAGCATCTGCAGATGAGGGGAAAGAGGAGCATGGGCCCAAGAGCAAAGGTTCCTAATAAAGCAAGAGTCAAGAATACCAGTGCCTATTGGCACAGGCTGAAAAGCCAAGAAAGGCCTGCCATCATCTCCTTGACTCCAGGGGGAGACAAGGGCTCTTCCAGGTCAAGAGCCTTAAGCCAAATATCAGAAAGATGCCTTTGTTGGCGGTATAGTAGTGAGCATAGCTGCCTTTCAAATATCAGTAAGATATTTTCTTTTCCCCTCCTTTTAAGAGAAGTCATCCTCTTTTGTATTTATGAAGTCAGTAAAGGGTATGTATCTCTGTATGCATGTTTAATAAAAGTAGAATGTGCTGACTAAAAACAAAATAAAACAAAAGCCTTGGAACATAGATCTACAATATGAAAGTGCTCTCATGACTACCAACCACAATTAATAAATTTCAGTGCAGACAGAATAATAAAAACCCTGGAGAAAGAATATATCCATATATAGAGTAATTAAAACAAAAGTCTTAAAATGAGTAGTGGACAAAATAGGCAAAATATTTGTTTTAATTTCAAAAACACATAAAGCTTTAGATTATCAAGGAAACAATGTTAATCATCAAGTTTTAGTTTTTCCAGCCTTGAAGTTTGACTTTTTCTTATAGTAAACCACTCAGAACAAGATTCAGGACATTGGCCCCTTTTTCCTCAGAGAAATTATTCTTCCACAAAATTTTCTATTTCCTTTAACTCCTTTACCCTAACCATATCGTGTCAACATCTGGAAATGCCCACAGTCTAGTACCCAACTTGCTTTCTCCAACTCTAACATTTCTTGTACATAAAACAAATTACCTTCACTTGATTCTGAATTTGCCTTACTGTAAGATCTAATAAATAATAAAACAATATTCCAAAGATTCTTCAAACTAAGAATAGGGAAGTATATAATAGCAAATAGCTAGAAATATGATTTATTAGAATCAAAGAACAATCATAGTTTTTCATTCCTTGAAAATCTCCTTCATCACAGAAAAACAAGCTAAACTGAGCTTGCTTGTGAGGCTCAACGTACAGTACCCCAGTTCTTTCCTTCACCACAAACCATCTCCTTCTGTAGTACCCCCACAACATGCATACATGCACACTTTTCCATACCACATCAAGATAAGATTGACAACATGCAATTGGGGTACACTATATACCCTTTCAAAGCCCCATTCACACCCTAAAGGCAGAAGACAACAGATTTCTTAAGGTACTTCCAATCAAGATGGTATGCTTTACACTTTGAGTTCTCCTTTGCACCAACCACAAAGCAATGATAGATAAAAGAGAAAATTAAAAAGCTATAGCTATGATAAAAATAGGATAAACACAACACAAACAGAGCTTAACCAAAGGACTATGTCATTGCTGAGGTTCCATGTTACTGCATGGTTTCAGTAGTGGGCACAGGCTCTTATCAGCAGGAGTACCAAGGACTTGAAGTACTCCACTTGGCACATGATCCTGGGGAAATAAAACTGCTTGGAATCACCCCTGGGGTATTCTGGGAATGCACTGGGAGAGAAAAATAGCTGCAACCCAAGCAATACTTTCAGCATAGCCAATAAATATGTTCCCTTTTCTTAATATGAAGAATGAAAAGTTCCTGCCATTTCTATATAAAGACTAGTTTACTATTAGAAAAAATCAAAAGAGCACCTTATTTTTTCGGGTACTAGGGATAAAACCCAGGGTCTCACACATGCTAGGCAAGCTCTACCACTGAGCTACATCCCCAGCCCAAGAAAAGAGCACTTTCAGATAGAAAAACAACATCTAAAACTGAAAATCCATTGAAATATTAAAAAGTATCAGATGAAACTTCATCCTAACTACAGTATTATAATCAAAGCAGTTTCTAAAGGTAACTATACTTCCAGATGAACATTATGAAATTTCTAAATTGTTATTTTAACAAAAATTCATAAATTCTGAAATACAAAATTGAAAAAATATAAAATATGATAGTAGAAAATCTCACCTGTGTTTTGACTGTGATCTTTTCCTTCTAGAATGGGATTTTGAGCTAGACCTGGACTTTGAGCGAGTGTGGGAACGAGATCGACCGCCTTTTCTTTCACTGCTCTTTCCAGACTCTGGGAGGAAAAAACCACTTTGCAGTGTAAGCTCAGAACAATTAAAGATCCCAGTTAATAATTAGGCACAAGTGGAATGTACCACATATAGTGCAAGGGGCCTACTCTCTGTACATCCTCCGCCTGTGCAATTATCCTTCAGAAACATCCAAGAAAGTCATTGCATAAACTCGTTGAGTGCAGCCACCCTGCAGCAGTACATACAAACCAGATGATTATAAACAGCTGTTCGTAATATTTTGTTGCTGCCATAATGTACGATTAAAACATGTCTGCAATTCCTATAACAATGATTTTACATTCTTCCTTTATCCTGCTGGAACTGAAGCTTAAGTTCTGAGTGTTAATTTCAAAAATTCAAAGGATAATTTAGTAACACAAGTTTGTTCCTTTACTTATTATGAATATCTGTATTTTTTTCTAAATCACAGTTCTTTTCTAGCTTTTAAATTAAAACTTTAAGGAAAGTAAGCCTGCTTGATTTCAACAGTTTAAATACATCTGCACTTTCCTTTTTAGCCTCACAATAACACTTTAATTTCAGCCAATCAGTTTGAACAATAATTTTGCTATTAAAATATAAAGAGCTAATTAACTCAGGCTAAAATGCCTCAAAATTTGGGATTATGGGAAAGGACCGATACATTCTAAGTCGTTCTTTGAGTAAGCCACTTACTATTTCTTGAGTTTCATTCTTCTTATTGGTAGAACAAAGGGACTGAACAATACAATTTCTAAAATTCCTTCCAGTTCTAAGATTCTGTGATCTTTAAACTGTGACCTGTGTAACAACACTATATGGCCTTACCTGGTTCAATGGCTGCTGAGATAAATGATTGAGCCTCCCGTACTCGCTTCATTACTTCTTCTAATTCTTTAGCTGCAGCCTGAGGTGTCATCTCAGGGGGTTTTACTATTGCATTGTTGGAGTGATTTATTCTAAATTAAAAATATTGGCATATCACAAATACACACCATATTTTATAAAACATAAAACCCTTAAATGTTTATATGATACTTATTTAAAATCTGAGGACAAGTCAGAAGCACATTTATAAGCTAAATAAAGAATCAACAATTTCACATCCACAATCTCATTCCCACTTCCCTTCATCTCTTGCTAAAAGTGAAAAGGAAAAGGCTACTCCTGCCAACTTCTTTGAATAGCACAAACAGATCAGAGCAAGTATCTACGTAGATTAAAATTATAATAAATCGTAACATTGACAGCAATATTAAAATGAATCCTTTTTAGGCTAAGAGTGTGAGATTCTGTTGTTAATCAGTGTACCCTGGCAGGATGAAGAAGGAAAAGCTCTATATTATATGCACCATTTTAATCAACCCTGTTTCATGGCTTAGACACACTTTTTTTTTTTTTGGTTCAGACAGGGTCTTGCTCATCAGTTCAGGCTGATCTTAAACCCACTATGTAGACCAGGCTTGGCCTCGAACTCTGCGATTCTCCTGCCTCAGCCGCCAAGTGCTGGGATCACAGGTGTGCACCACCACACCCAGGCTAGACACACCTCTAAATGTGGGAGGGATCTGGTAAGACTTTTACTACTAGGCGAGAGAAGCTTCACTGAGGCTTCATCTGAATCGGATATGCAACGCCTTACCTATTCCACAGTGAAGATAAACACCTACTAAGAACAGTTATTTGTCCTTTAACAGCAAAATACTGATCAAACTGTGTAACTAAAACAATCACCTATGAAACAGATAAAATTGTCTGCCTTAATCTGCATAAAATAGAATTTCTAGACTTGAGTATCTGAAAGACTACATAATTTTTTTTTTTACAAACAAGGTCTGAACAAATTCTAAAAGTCAAATGTCTGGTTTAAAACACTGCTAGATATTTGTTTTCTTCCTGGGATTTGAAATTTAGCAAAATTCTTATTACTGAATGTGGTTCAACCTAACACATAAATCTAGTCATGTCACAAAACCAAACCACATCAAAACTTACAGAAAAAGACAATACCATTATGTAAGGTTATGTTACTAGTATATCAGACCTTCAAAACAGAAAATGAGAAAATAAGACAAATGCCCTCAAATACAACTTTAAGAAATTAAAAGGCTAAAATGGCTTATATTTCATTAATCTACTTAAGTTTTCTTTTCCACAAATTACCAGTTACTACTGAAAAGAAAAAAGTCTAATTCCATCCAATATACTTTAATCATTAAAATTTTTTTGTTTAGGATTTCTTACTTCAGTGGCCTGTCTCCAAACATAACTCCATTAAAAGCAAGGGCCCTTGGTACAGAATTTTGGTCTGCAAATTCCACAAAAGCAAACCGAGTTGGCTGAGTCTCATCACCTGCCATCCGCACAAACTTCACTTCTCCAACTTGTTTAAAAAATTCAAGTAGTTGATCAGCTGTCGTTGTCTGAGGAAACCAAGTTGACACTTTTAATAATGTATTCTTTCAAAAAAATCAAGTATATATTACTTTACCAATATGAGTTTTAAGAAGAGAGAGTAAGAGGTACTGCAACTTGGTTTCTTCTTTTATATAGTTACCTGGGAATTCAAATTTCCAACATAGACTGTTCTCCTAATTTCATCAATTTTGGAAGGATCTACATTTCCCATTAGTGGTGGTTGTGGTATCTCTCCAAGTGTTGCAATGTTGGGATCTAGCGCTGCTGCTGGTATAGCTCCCAAACTGCTAAGTGAAACTCCAAGCTATAAGGGGAAAAAAACAAATACAACAGCATACATTTTCTATTAATATCTAAAACTACCATTCTCTAATCTTGAAAAATGGATCAACTTAACAAAAATGAACAACTAAGGACTCTTACCTTTAAGCTACGCATTCTTCTGAATTATTAAAAGTGAGGTCACTTTAGTTTTGAGAGACTCATTAAAAGTAGTTATGCTCTATAACAATATTACCATTGTTCCCAGAGAAGATACAAGGTCACATTACTGGGAGACTCTGGTTACAATATTTTCATAAACTACTAAATATGTAACTCTTTCTTACAGGTGTTTGTGTGAAAGCATCTTATTTAATATGTGTTGGTGATTTACCACAACTAAGAATATTCTGTTCCTCTAACACACACAATTTGTTCCTAAAAGCACTTTCATTAGCATATGTATGGTGGCTTGTCTACACAGCAAAATAACCAAAAACACAAAACTTCAAAAAAATGTAGCACTAAACAAACCACAAAAGTATGCTGGTTTTACAGCATGAGTGTCAAAACAGAAGGCAAAGTGGCAATTTGACTTTATTGAAAATAAGCACAATTAGCATTTTCTCTGTGTATTTCTGTAAACAGCTTCAAAGTATTGCAAATAGTGATTTCAGGTTTCAATCGATTTTGACTTATTAAGTGAATTCATGAATACAGAATTCACAAATAAGAGTCAACTGTAGTTGGTCATTCAAAACTATCAATTCAATGAATTCCTAATCATTTTCACAGCATCTCATTTTGCTGAGTTATTAACTTAAACCTCAGTAAACCTGAAAATAGAGACAAACTTCACCTGAGAAATATCTAAAATACTAAGTTCTTAAATATGGTATGGTAGGAAAAGAAAAAAACCCTTCATCTTCCCAGAACATTAATAAATTCACACATTAAAGAATATGTTGTTTTGGGAAATACTGACGACGATTGAACCCAGGATCTTCACACTAAGCTACATTCCCAATCCTTTATTTATTTTCAAATTCTGAGACAAGGTCTTGCTAACAGTTGAAACTGCAACTTATGACCCTCCTGGCTCAGCTTCCCACCATGCAGAGAAAACAGAATTTTTTTTTATTTTTTTGAGACAGGGTCTCACTATGTAGTTGAGACTGACCTGGAACTATGTGGCCCAGGCTGATCTCGAACTCACAGCAATCCTCCTGCCTCAGCCTCCCAAGTGCTGGGATTACAGGCATGCACCACCACACCCGGCTACAATGTTATTTTTAATGTAACTTAAACTGAAACAGAAAGATCTAGAATGGGAAAATGGGAAAAATTTTCAAAATTAACACAAAGATTTTTCAAGGAAAAAAACACAACCACTTTCATTTACACTACTCCAGAAAATCTTGACTACAAATGTGCTATACATTACTAAGATTTAACAACTGTTTAGTAATGGTACTTCCCAAAGGTAAAAACACAATCCATAAAACCAGTGTCACTTCTTTCTGCCACAGCAGCCAGTCTGATCTTTTAAAAACATGTCAAACTAGGCTGGGGATTTAGCTCAGTGGCACTGCACCTGCCTTGCAAGCACAGTCCTGAGTTCAATACCCAGTACAAAATAAATAAATTAAAATAAAATAAAATAAAAATAACAACTGAAGTAGATAGTGTCACTTCTTTCTGCCACAGCAGCCAGTCTGATCTTTTAAAAACATGTCAAACTAGGCTGGGGATTTAGCTCAGTGGCACTGCACCTGCCTTGCAAGCACTCTCCTGAGTTCAATACCCAGTACAAAATAAATAAATTAATTAAAATAAAATAAAATAAAAATAACAAATCTGAAGTAGAAACAGTTCTCCAAGCTTCTTATCCTGATTACATAGTTCAGTGCTCACCTCTTTTATAATATATACTTCCTTATGACAGTACTTACTGTAGTCAAAGGATTTGGGGTTGGTATAGGAAGCAATCCTGCACCAGGCATCAGACTTGTCATGGTTGGAGCAGGAGCCAATAAAGAGAGGGCTTTGGATTCCTCTGGGATTTTACCTGCAGAAGCAAGTTCCAAACATTATGGAAAGCAGAAACACCACACCACCTTTACACTATGATTTTACAATTACCCTTGCACTTAAAAAAATAATAATAATAAATGAATCTATCTATCACATCTGCATAAAGAAATAAATAAGAACTTAAGTCTTTCCTTTTAGCCTGCTCTACTAGGAAAAATAAAAGTGAGCAAAACTTCAAAGACTAACAATCTCATTAATGGAATATTATTTTAAAAATTGAATAATGTAGACAATTATTTAACACTTTGAGCTATGGGTCACCTGTACTGGAAACTTAATGTTCATGAACCAAACGATATCAAGCATGGACGCTTTCCCAGGACGGTGTTTTCGCGGTGATCGAAAGTTGTGTTACACATGACAACCGTTCGTGTTGGCTGCATCACTAATAGCACACAGAACATCAGATACAGAAAAGAAGAACATTTTTTAAAGTTTAATCCCCAGAAATGGCAAATAACCAAATTAGTCAAAAAAATGAAAAAGAAAAAACAAATATGTGCGAATTGAAATTTGATCCTTAATGAGTGTCCCTATCCTGCTGCTCAAACTACCTACTTGTGATGCAAACAATTTCAATAACCCTTCAACAGATTCCATTCAATTTCAAGTAAACAGAAGAAAACAAAACCTACTTCATATAATCATCCTCAATTTACAAGGGAAATCCACACCTACTCAGTTCATAAGGCATCTCACCAGTATCAGTGATGTCTAAAGAATATGCCTTGGGAAATTGCTAAAAAAAATTTTAAGAATAAAAAAAGTCCCCTAGTCTCTAAAAACTTCTTAAAAATACTTTTAGAACCAATTAAATGTATGCTTATCTGAAGAGAGGTAGTAAGCTTGTCTTGCTTATAAATATTTTAACTGTAAAAACAGTAATACTAAAACAATCTTAGTAAAAAAAATGTCTACAACATGAAAAACGAAACAAGCACATGATGTGCCATGTTTAATTGCTGAATTTTTGTCAATTAATTCTGACAGACTAAAACTTCCGTATTTTTCCTTATCTTCTCACCAAAATAAAGTGTACTGAAAAACTGCAGGTATATTTATTTATAACTACTCATCTGCTATCTGGCTATGCATTTCTACTACAAACCTGTCAGAAGTATTTTAAAACAGTGTACAAAATCACAGTAAGTTGAAATATATGTATTAAATTTTCAAAAGTACCATGCCTGGTTTCAGAGGTAAAAACCCTACCTTAAATCAACTAGATGGGCAGAAATAAACCTCTAAACAATATTATCTGAATGTATCTCTAAACATAGATAAAATTTAAAAACTTGTTTTAAATAAGGATTGTCTTATCTATAGAAACAGAATAAAAATTACATTAGCTTTAGCAAATGCCTATTTTTAAACTTTGCAGTAGCATCCAAGCTATCATTTTGACTAATTTCAAAAACAATTATTTCAATCTAAACTCTGGAGAACAGATTTCTTAACATGCACAAAGAAAATAAAAAGTAGGTTGACTTTATTGGACAATGAATAACAATAATTTGTTTTATATGTATTAGTTACTAGTATTAACATGTACTTATACTCAGATATATACTATTTATATTGATACCACACTCAAGTCATCTATTATAAACAGGTATTATTTTTTAAAGAGATCTGTAAAACCTGAACTTGATAACCAACCAACCAGGGTCCTGAAGTGCGTGCAAACTCTAGACTTCAATACACTAATTTACACACCTAAATAAGGGTGCTAATCTAGTACAGATGTGCCAAATTTAGTATTACTTGCCAATAAGCACAACTATCCATAAAGACAGTGTAAAAAGACTACACCAATGAAATGGATTTTTCAACATGGGCTAAAAGTTGATTACATGCTATTATGGAAGTCTCACTTCTGGGTTAAATATCAGCAGGTTGTCAGATTCTCATTGTCTTTCATGATAGTAATAACTATAAATCTGTAACTATTAAGTACAATAATATGTGTTATTCTATTAACTTGAGGAAAAATTCCATTGCTTAATTTTCAAAATAAAGTTGTATCAAGTTTATCTTCTAATTACTATCAGATTGTATAAAAGTATAAAACAAATAATCATTTAGCATTTTTCCCAAGCTGTACTACTCAAAGACAATTGAGAGGAAAAACAACATCTCTCACATTATTAAAGTATAACCTCTAAAGCCATTTATAAGCTAGTAACATCTGAAGAATTTTCAACTTCAAAAACTCAAGCATACACAAAGTTTGCTTACACATGCAAGTAATTAATAGTGTCTCAAATATCCATTCCCCACATAGGCAACAAAGTCTTAAGACAAGGAAATATAAGTTGTATAACCACCATAAAAGTGAAAGACTCTCCCTGCCCTACCTCCAGATAGCTGTAAGAAATTTACTTATTTTCCTTGATGACTTTGTATGCCTAGAATTCTAGGGGAAAGAATGAAAATGAAAAGCCATCAGTTGGTTTTTGTGAGAGATGTAGACTTGGAAAAAAAAAAAAAAAAACTAAAAATGTTGTACTGAGATCACAAAGTGTTCCTAAGATTCCTGTTTTGTTTCAAGAACAAAATGTACCTGATCAATCTCTTAAGTACCCATTAAGACCCACTGAGCTTCAAAACACCATATTCTTCTAACTTACTGCATGAAAATTTATCTTAAGGTTGAGCTCTGTTAATCATCTCCTGATATAATTTGCAACACGTTATAAACCTTAATGGAATACCATTTACAAAGAACTGGAAAACCAGCTCACAAGTTAAAGTGAAAGAGATTTAACAAAACAAAAACAAAAACAAAAAAAAAGGGACAAAATAAAGAAAAAGAAATGAAATCAAAGTAAAACAATAAAAAACAGAGACAGGGCGTCCATCTTCTGCGGTTCAGACTCCGATCTCATTTCCCCAATGAAGGTTTCACTTGACGGCAGGTTTAGTGGCATGGCAAACAATGCCTAACTCAGGCAAGTGTAACAGGTCTGCCTTGGCCAGTCTAGTCATCTAATAATGCACAAATATCACATAGAGAAAACATACAAAACCAAATTAATAGTCAAAATCCATCTACCAGAAAATGTGGACATAAATTTATGACTGATGATTAGGCTGACACCTTTGTTATGTTTGACCTTATCTTTTCTAAGTGTCAACATTTATAAAAAGAAATCTGAAATGCACGCAACAACAAAAGAGGTCATATTTACACAAGTATAATGAAAGTATACTTTATTTTGAAATGGCATATTTTATAAACAATAGTTAATACTTAAATATGTATGAACCCATTACACATCAAACATTACTTATACATCTTAGATCCTGTTATTGTCTGAACTAAAACTAGCAAATTGAAAGAAATTAAAACGCTTTTCTTAAACTTTCTATGGTTTTTCTCATTTATGTCATGACACTGTTTCTATGATATCAAGGAAAGAATGCAGTCTGTGAAGTGTCCACAGACTGCTCATAGCACCACAGCACGTCTCCTCTTATAGAAATCCTCCACGGAAACATTTTCCTTGGGTTTACTTCAAATTCACTCTGCTAACTTTTTTAGTACAAGAATGCATTAATTCTTTGCTGCACTTTATATTCAGACTTTCACTGTGAAATTCTTCAATTTCCACAAATTCATCACTTTTGTATTTAACTAAAAAAAAGTATACAAATGTTTTCTTGTACTAGAAATTTTCTAATATGTTATTTTGTTTTTTTTGGTACCAGGGAGTGAACTCAGGTCCTTGAGCTTGTGAGGCAGGCAGCAGAACCACTGAGAGAAATCCTCAGCCTCTTAATTTCTAATGCTATTAGTAATGTTAAGTTCTTTTTATGCCAGTGTTTTAAAATACTTCTCAATTGCAAAAAAGTGTGCTTAAATTTTTGTGTTCAAATAAAACTTTGTATCAAAATAATATAAAAAATATTTAAAACCTGCAATTCAATGTGCATTTACCCATCTCTATTAAATAAACAGTAAAAGGAACCTCTTCTGCATGCCAATAACCTTGAACATCTATGACAAATAACAGGGCTTCTCTAATGTACAAAAGGTTTTATGGGAATAAATTAAGGTCCCAAATAAAGCAACGCTTACAAAAAATTTTTCTTTAGAATTCAATAATGATCATTATAAAGAGCCTGTGCTGTTGGTGGAATTTTGATACGGTATTTCAGATTAATATATCTTCTATTTGGTTTCTTTTTTCCTACAGTTTCTTGACATGTAATTTCAGTAAAAACTATATAAAATTAAATCATTAACCATCTCTTTTCTCACCTCATTCTCAAATTTTGGACTCATTGTACCCTTAACAGAACATCAGATAAGGATAAATACTTGTTACAAATTAACAAATAATTAACTTTAACTTATTTTTATTTTCCCTACCCACTCTAAGCCCTAAAACATGGGCAAGACATTTTCAAATTTATCTGAAAAAATTCAGAATGTACTATTCTCAGATTTCAAAACTATCTTCTACTCACTGTATTTAACTGTTTTTAACATTCCAGAAAAGGCATTCTAAAATAAGCATTAAAAACCTGAAAGTGGGAAAAGATGCTTATTATACACTATTATTTTAATGTTAAATGGTCACTACAAAAGATTTGAATTAAAAATTATATATGAAAACCCAATAAATTGTTTCTGATAAATTTTAACACTGTAAATTACCACCATCCACAGAAAATATCTATTTTTAAGGACACTTCAATCTGCCATAACCCAATTCTAAAATCCATGTATACATGCCATATTCAGTGCTCTAAATGAAAGTTAATTACACACCAGAACTGTCAAAATTCAGCACAGCCTATTATTATGTGAGTAGCTCTGTAAAAAGAAGTTACTAAAAAATAATTAGTAATAATTAGCTCTTAAAGCAGTTTAAAGCATTAAATTTAACACGTAACTAAAGGCCTCTGGCCCTGTTCTTATCTTCAATAACTATTTTCTTGATGAAAGCTTTGAAAAATCGTTTTCCATGAATTTTTTCAATTATCCACAGGCCAATGTAAGAAAACAATCCAGTTGCACTGCAAACAAGTACACTGAATACAAAAGAATAGTCTCATGGTAACAATTAAGGTAAATTACTTTAAAAGAATAGTTGAAAGTATAGATATTTTTCTTTTAATTAACCCAGAAATTTAACATATACTTTTTATTTGTAATACTATTAACACTGTTAATAAATGTTTATTTACATACTTAAAATAATTACCCACAGCAACTTAAAACTATTTTTATAATTTCATAAAGCTCTCTTGAGAATCCAAAAATTGACTATAGGAAACCAAAGGAAATTAGAGAAGCCAAGTACTTAATGAATTTTTTAAATGCTATGTTACAAAATCTCAAATGTAGACAAGTAATAAATTAACCACTTTAATTTACTATTAGATAAAAATTCTTTCTCTACATTTCACCTTTGTGCACTCTCTCTCTCACATATACACACACACACAAACACACTTCCCAGAGTACTGCCTACTTGCTAATCTTTTAGGACAGAAGGGTGCAGTAATAGGACAGAGATTAAAACAATAGAAAAAAAATGTGAGATACCAACCTTCTGCACAGGGAACAACTATCAGAGCTCTGTCAATAAAAACCGTGTTAGTTAGATGCTGGGCCACACCAACACTTGATGGGTCACGAAACTTAACATAACATACTTTGGAGGAAAAAGCAAGAGGTGCATTGCTGCAAGATAAAAAGAAAAACAACTCAATAAACATTTGCTTGTGTCTGTCATTTTCACTTAAAATTTCTTTCTCACATCTTTACATA